GGGGGGGGGGGAGTCTTTTATCCTACTTAAGAATAGCTGTACCATGTTTCAGTGGTTTTACCATGTTTTTAGCCTGTTTTAGCGTTCAACCACCTGCACAGTAAAAATTATTTTTTTTAACGTTCAGATGGAATTGTCTCTTGCCTCGTCACCGAGCACCACTGAGAAGAGTCTAGCTCCATCTTCTTCATACCCTTCCCACGCAGGCAGGAACTTTTCATATTTATATAAGGTTTATCATTATGGCATCTGGTCCTACTAGCTGAAAAAAAGCTAGTTTATCACAAAAGAGAAAGTAGATTACCGATATGGTTGGACAAGTTATTGTATGTGGCTGACCAAAGTTGCTTTGGTGGATGCAATCAGCAGATCTCTAGGCATCCAGCTAAAGCCAGGAAGATAAACTGGGCCCGCACTGTCATTCAACTTTTCACTAAAAGAGCAGATATGGCAACACTGAAAATTGTATTTCGCTCCATTCTGCCAGTCAGTTCTGTAGTTACAATGAACCCACATATTAAGATGATACCCTTGCATCTTTTTACTAATCCATGTTTCCTCAACACAAGAATAAATTCCCATACTAATGTGTCGAATTTGTCATTTGGCTTGTGTCCAAAACCCCACTCTCAAAGTTAAGAGCTGACTGTGATTGCATTGGGGTAGGTGGATAGGAATAAATTTTGATTTCAGCAATACTGGGGGGGGGGGGGGGGGGGAATCTTACTTCTGGGAAGACTGCATTAAGGATACCTAAATTAGTCTGACGTGCCATTTATTACACTCAATTTTATTTCTACACAATTTGACACAAAATAAGTCATTTTTATAATTCAGTTTGTCATGAAAACTGCTTAGCAGGACACAAAAGAAGTAGTATTACTTGGAAAAATCCAGCAGTTGTCTGCCTTTCAGCACTAGCTGTTACAACAGAAGAGCTGCCGTTATTGTATAATAGTATATTTTTGTAGAGGTAAAGGATTAGAGAAGAAACAAAACTCCATAGGAAAAAAAGCATCATGCTGTTCCTTATCAAAGCTACAAAAACAAAGCAAGCAAAGAAAACAAGTTCTGCTTTGTTGAAGGTTCAACAATGACATTTGAAGCCAAGAAGAGAAAAATCCAGGATTTCATATAAGACAGTTATCAGGCAAGTTTTAAAATGAAAAATCAATTTTATGTTTAACACTATTCAGGTATCATACGATAGGAGAGAACAATACATTCTCAAAACCAGGATATGAGTTTTGTCTTACCCTTATTGGTAATATTACTTAAGTACACTACTGTGCTATTCATTCAGAAATCTACAAGCCCTAATAAAGCCCCATAAAAAAAATCTTTTTTTTTAAGTTTGTTTTATAGCTAGGAACATAAAGGCAGAATGGTTAACAACCTGAATTCTAGAAACATACACAGTCCCTAAAAATCAGGCTGTCAGTTTTTTTGTCCCTATACCACAAAAGGGCAAGTTTCAAATGCAGGGAAAAAGCTTCAAGTTTCCATTTCTTAGCTCTTAATCAGAATGAAAGACCCTTTCTTGTCTATTTCTGTCAGCCATATCTAGACAACTTTCTTTAGGCATAAGTCTGACTGAACTCCCACAACTCACTACCTGTTCCAACCCACATGCTGTGTCCTTACAAGTACTGATAAAAACAGTTTGCATGATCGTGAAAAGTGAGGGTGCTGACAAGAGATTAAAAATAATCAAGAAAAAAAAAAATTGGAGGGAAGAAATAGGTTCAGATGCAGTACCACTTAGGAAAAAACAACACAGCATGTCAAGAAGTGCCATAAGCTGCTTTAGCACATGACAGTCAGTGTCTTCCAAACAAGAGAAAGGCTAACTGAAAGCAGCAGCTATTTTAGACAGTAAATATGCAATTACATAATTAACCAACAGCCAAAAGTTTTACTTATTAGTTGTACAGTTTATTTAGACAAGACAAAAGCTTGCACAGTTTTGTAACTGTGTACAGAAATGAAAACATCTGAAATATATTAGTTCCCCCCCCCCCCCGCAATTTTACTTTGTACTTTGTTCTTGGAAAAGTGATTCTTTTTTTTTAGGATTCACGTTTCAGCAGTACATATGCTCCCATTACTGCCAGAAGAGCGTACTGCAAAAGAAGATAAAGACTGATTACAATTTGTCTTCACAGAAGCTCTGAAACTACAAATTGTTCAAAGTGTGCCCTCTCCAACATTACACCTTCTAGATGAGTACACAATTATAGAGTTGTGTTCCTGTAGAATTACAGGAATATTTTAATATGATCATATTCATCATAAATAGGCATCACAACTATATACACTTAACTTATGAAATTCCTATAAATTAAATGTTTTCAAATTATTACAAATACTAGGTTCTACTGGGTAACAGACAAGCTAAAATAAGCAAGAAAACACAGCTGATCTTACATTAGGTACCAAACCACAGAAACACATTTATTAACATATATTCTTACATGCAAGATTCTTACTATCTTTACTTGCTATTTGATAGCTTTAAATTTAAGTATTCAAAATGTCTGTATACATACCTTAAATTTTGGATAGTCATTCATTATTATAGTTACCATACCAACATAAGGCAAAAATCTATAATTGACAAAACAGATGAATGTAAAATTAACCCTCAAATATTACATGGAAATGTTTCAGTGTTACTGTCTTGAATATTTTAGTGTAAAATAATAATTTACACCTGTCACTAATGCATATCTGAATGGGAAATTTTTTTTTTCTTAGATAAAAATTTAATCAAATTATTTGAGAAAAATCGTAGAGATTTAATCTCAACTGGGGAAGGGGACAAAGTCAAAAGGTCAAACCTTGCATAAAATTCCTGTGGGATGTGGAAATAATTTCCTAGTAATTTCTAGTAATCACAAGGATAAGTCGGTTAATTTTGTATGGCGAATTATTTGTTAAACGTGCCATTTTTTCAAAAAATTAGTTTCCACTCTTCACATAAGTGAGAAGACTACAGAAAGCAACTTTTCCAGGTAAAGTAGTTTTTTTAATTAACATTTTATTTAAGAAATTTAAAAAATACTATACCAGATCTAGTTTGTACCAACAGCAGAACTGATTTAAGTTCTAAATTTTCTTTCTATTTAATTACAAAGAACATAGACATTTTGCATTACTTACCCTCTTGCTCTTCCAACAACATCTTTCTTCTCTAACCAGTTCTGACCTTCTTTGTACAAGCCTCTATCATCAACTTCATTATTATCACCTTTAGTCAGAAATTTGATGTTCCCATTTTCTCTAGAAGGCAACGAGGTGATAAACTAAATACCACTTAATTTAAAAACCTCAATTAACATCTACAAAGCACAATGAAGATGGAAATTGCTACAAGATTAGATAACAATGTTTACTTCCAGTCCTGCTTGTCCTGCGTATTTAACAAACACCATCAAATCATTAACATTGCAGACTTTACTGACAGAGTCAATAGATTTTAACAAGAAATGTTTTTTATAACACTCGTATTGTCATTTGATGTAAGCAATTACACAATGGACATGAAAGGGATATTGTCCATCCAGAGCAGGCACTAAACTTCCTCAACAAAAGCAGTATGTGCCTATCTGGGAAAAAAAAACAAAAAAACAAACAACCCTCTGCATTTTCAACAGAGCAGAAATTTAGCTGTGAAATACTCAATAATACTCCACTAAGAGGTTTTGTTTTCTCTTCTTTTTTCACAAATTGGGGAGTAAGATCCTGTGAAGTCATTACACATCAGAGAATGAATTTAACTGAGTTTAAATCATGTATTTCAGATGAGGTAGATCCTAAAAATCTTCCCTTAGGAAAGAAAGTGGTATAATAATACAATGCTTTAGGCAATTTTCTTCTAAGTTCTATATGCTTGCTTAACTCTTAATAATCATATTTATGTCAAAATAAAGCTTTGTCTTTCTTTTGATAGAAATAAATATTGAAGACCCTCTAAAGTGGCTGCAAATCTGCATCAAATTCAGTATTTTGTCACTAACACTGCAATACGGTTTTAGATAACTCATTAATTGTTAAACAATATAGGGAGTTCCAAGCAAAACCTCACTTATGTTCTATATTTATTAATGCAGCAAATAAAAAAATACATGTAACCAGTCTTTAAATAACGTCATACGGACAAAACATTATGTGGGCTTCTTAGGGGACTATATGGAGAAATCCAAGCGATAGAAATGCTTCGGTCAGTGGCACTCTTCCCCCCCTACAGATGAATGAATGCCTGCAGGGCTTGGAGAGCCAGTCTGCTCCCTCAGAGCCAGAGCTGATTTCCTGACCTCTCCCAGCCATTGAGGCACTTCAGTTCTTTTTGTAGGAATAGAAGTTTAAAACCCTGAACACGCCCAAATCACAACCTTTCCCTGCTGTTTCAAATGAACAAAGTGTCTTACACTACGTTTTGAACATGATATAATTTAACCACTGCTGTTAGAAAACCTGCCGTATTTCACTCCCTTTCAAGCATTAGGCATATGTGCAGGTAACGCATGCAAAACTTCAGTTCAACACTCCCATTTATATCAAGTTATTAAGTTTACAGTCTTCAAAACGATTTTGCTCAAGAAGCTGCTAATTGCAAGTAATGATATCAAGAAACAAGGAGTTTTTATGAAGACAAATTAGGTATTAAAAAAAAAAAGAAAAAGAGGTAATTCTTGGATATACATATTTGTTTCAAAAAAGCATTGAAGAACAGGTATTACTCAAAAAGATAAACACTTTCAGTTCATGGCCAGGACTTCCTGAGGAGCAAATATGTCAATGTTTGCCACCTCCAGGTTAGCTTTTTGCTGTGCAGAATTAGAAACAGAATTGCCTCTCTTTTGTTTGAGACGGAACTGTTTATCATACCAGGCATACGCAATAAAGGTAAAAACAAGTAATCTACCTGTTGCTTTTCAGCATGAATTGTTGTTGGCATTGTGACTAATAGACACAAAATGAATAAGAATCTCTTCTTTCATTCTGAGTCAAATCTCTTTTCTGGAAAACTTCAGTTAGCAAAGATCACACACTTGTCAGACTTCATCTATAGTTCTGATTCTGAATCTTCACCTTCTTTCAGAGATTTGCTTTTAGAAGTAGCTATTTCTCATAACCAAAATCCCAATTCTACAACAGTCAGTACAGAAGTGGACTCTGCTCCCATATATATTGCTACTGCTGGTAAAAATAACGTGCATAGTTTGTGTTACTGGACTCCTCTTTGGCATAGGTTTACCTACTTTGAACCCGAGCAACTTCGCTGAGGGACAGGAGTCAGGGTCTCAAGAAGTGAGCCACAGAATTGGGGACACAAGAGGATCACATCCTAGAGATGAGTTTTATCTTACAGCATATCCTGACTTGCCTTTTTCATAAAATACTACCAAATTAAAATGTAATTGAAAAGTCATGGTGAAGGAAACTATATTTAGAAACAAGGAAAATGCCAAGTTGCATTACTTTTCATGTATTTTGATTACTCTGTGAACTATTGGAATGTCTCTGCCTTCAACTTTAAAAACAACTATTTCACCAGCTCTGATTGGGTCATCATGGAAATTTGTTAAGAACAACAGGTCTCCTCTGTGAAAAGCTGGTTCCATGCTGCCACTACAAACAAAAAGAAAGAGAGAGTTTATTAGCATTATGGTAAATGAAAGAAGAGCCATGAAAACAAAGAACATTTAATTCTTACAGATAAACTCACAATTTTAACTGAAATCTGTAGCTTCACCCATTCAGTGACACTACACAGACAGTTAACACAACCCAAACCTCAGTAAGTCCTAAGCTGAGCAAGCCTATAGAAGACTTCTTTACTACCTCAGTGAAAGAAAGAAAGAAAAAAGCTGTATAGAAAAGTAACAGTATTGGAGCTATGCTGAAGGAACAAAATGAGCCATTCTGGTTAAGAAAACCAATCCATTAGTGAAAAGCCAAAAAATGTTTCCCAGTACAACAGGAAGTACTTCTCTACATAGAAAGAGTTTAATTAACATGAGCAAGAGTTATGTTTACATCAGTGATTACTATTAACAATCAGAAAATCCATGCCCTTTTTCAAAGCCAGCCACAGCATTATTTGGTAACAGCCTTTAAGGTTGGATTCCAGATCCCATAACTAGTAACATGAACAGACAATTCCCATTAAAATACTGTTATTTACTGCATACATTCCTTGCTGACACACACTGAATTCCTGCAAGGCTGAATCTTCCATAAACATGTGTTTAACTTCATGTATTTGATCAGCACTCAGGGGCCTTCAGGACTGGCTCTTTATATACCAGAAGTAAGACACCACTGAGAGAGAAGCAATATGAGTGTCATCTACTCATAAAAGGAGTTTTACTGTAATACAATTTTAAAATGAATATACATATGGTAAAAAAAAAAAAAAAAAGACATTAACAAAAAGACCGGAAAAAAGTGTTAAATGGCTTCAGGAAGTGCAACACATTTACTTATTTTCTTCAGGAGACCACAGAAGCTTCATAGGATTACGTGTATTTCTGTTAAAGCAGAATTATTTTTTGGAATCCTGACATCTATCCAGGGATTACTATTCCTAGGTAGAAAGATATATATATATATGTATGTATGTATGTAAGTAATCTTGAGTAGTTTATCTACCAATTAAGTGAACAAACCTAGATTTTCAAAGGTTTCATATATCTATTGCTTCTACAAACTTCAATGAAAACTAGACTGCAATTACAAAAGCAGCCTTTGCTAAGTGTCCAAAAACAGAAATAGAAGAAAATAAGCATTTGAATACTTCTTTAAGTAGGTGAGATTTCAAACTCCAAATCTATCCAAGGGAGAAGGGAAGGAGACAAAGGACAAAACAATATTTGAACTTTAACAAAAAAGCCTTTACATTGACTTACCTGAGCACCACAACAATAGGACTTTCACTTCCAGTAATGACGATCAGCCCTTTCCATATCATAAGGGCAGAAGACACTATCATAGCAAAATTTAAGACTTGGTAATACAGCTATATAAAACAAAAAAAAGTTGTTTTTAGAAGTTGCTATGTTGTATTTAGAAGCACAACATAGAATTTCAACCCATATGCACCATTGAATCACAATCCAGGCATGTGGACTTTCAGGCTAAAATCATATTCCAGCAGAAGCCTCATGAAACAGATTGCCGTACTGGCAATCCAACCATACAAACCATACTGCAGCCTAAAGTTTTAAACCATTGTGTGCTTCAATCTTGGCTTATTACACCTGTGCAATATTCCCATTTGTTAGTGCTAGAAGCTAGTGAACTCACTAGCAAAGACTTTAAAATATCGGAAGCTATATGGCAAATGATCAAATCTATTTTGACCACATGCCCCTGACTGCTACCCGAGCTCATAGTATTCAAAACACACATAAGAAATACTGTAAGATCAGTAATAGCAGACTTTGTACTTTGAACAGTAATTTTTGTTTGAAAAGAGGAGCTGTGGAAGTAGAAGAGAGAAGGCAAAAAGATCATTTATTGCTATTGTCAGACAGAAATTACTTATGTGGGAAACCTTTTATTGATTCGACTAACTTTCTCCCCCCAAATTCTACTGCTTTGCCAGCCATTACACCAGTGGATACACTTTCTTCACACTACTTTTTTTTTCTTGGCAACATACAAAGATACTCTGGTGGAAACCAAGCCTGCCCATCTCCATTTATCACGTGGCTCACTGATGTAAGACATGGAACCAGAAATTCCCAGGCCATCGTTCTAGTCTGGAAACACATATGCTGCGATTTTCAGGTGTACAACCCACTTAACTTGGGATTAGTCAAATTTCAAAATCTGCTCTGAAGTTTTTGGTTTTTCTTTTTCTTTTTTTAAGTGATTGATAGTTACTAAAAAAAAACAAACCAAGGAACTTTCACAGCCGGGAAATCGGAAGGTTTGTCGCCAGCCTTACCCTCTCTATTCCAACCAGTCATGTGCATAATCACATAGTAACGACAAAATAAAGACACCTATTTTGAACGACAGGAGTTTAAAGCCACCCATTTGCTTCCACAGGCTGCACCTCCAGAACGAAGCTGGTTACTGACAGGAATGTAAAAACAGGGTTTCTCAGCGGCAAACCCAAGCCCTGGCAGGCCCCCCCCGGCAGCCGCGGCCTCCCGCCCGGCCAGCGCGGCTGCCCCGCTGTTCCCGGCACCAGCCCGGCGCTGCAGGGCGGGCGCGGGGACGGACGGCAGGAGGGCGCGGCGGTGCGCGACCCCCTGACGGGGCAGAGCCCCGCCGCGGGCGGAGCGGGCCTCCCGCCCACGGCACCGGCGGAGAGCCCAGCTCTCTCTCAGGAGCGCGGCGGGCCGCACGGCTCCGGACCCCCCGCCCCGGTCCCGGTCGACTCCGAAGCTCCGGGACCTTCGAGCGGCCTCCACATCCCGACCCATCCCTCGGCCCGCACGCCCCGGGGCCCCCCGCCTGGCCGGCACCCGCAAGCCCCCGCCGCTACCTGCCGCTTGTTCATTCGCCGCAGGTCCCCGAAGAGATCCATGGCGGGGCCGCGGAAAGGGCCGCACCCAGCCGGCGGCGGGAAGCTACCGGCGGCCTCGCGGAAGGGGACGCACTCGAAGACGCTCGCACCCCGAACCCCAGCGCTGACCGCCAGCCGCAGCTACCGCCGGCCCGGGCGGGCCCTCCGCTCCCCGGGAGCTGTAGTCCCCCTCCTCCCGCCGCCCCCCTCACACTCAGTGGGCCCTGGGGCCACCTGGACTACAATTCCCAGCATGCGCCGCGTCAAAGGGTCCTGAGGGCGAGGTCCCCGCCTCCTGCCCCTGCAGGTGCCCGACCAGTTTGCTGTCCGAGGGGGCTCCCGGCGGGCGCTGAGACCCTACGGTACGGCGGAACGAGCCAAAATTCGTCTGTGGAGCGGCAGAACGGCGGCACCGGCCTCCCGAGCCGTACCCTGCGGATCAGGCGGCTGCTGACGAGCTCTCTCCGGGGCCGCCGCTGCGTGTGCGCAGCTCATTGGC